TGTGAGATGGGAAACAACCTAAATATTAAAATAGGATTGGATTAAACACACTGAAATCAAACTATGAAAGATCAAATAGCTGTTTGGAATCCAGGTGTTTAGAATTGAAGTGTTCTAATATGCACTAATAAAAATGAGTTAAATTTAACTGGAAAACATTCTGAGTACTGCATGTGGTATTTCAGCATTTGGATAAAACAAAAAATTACAGATATTTGCAGACTGATAATTAACTATGAGGGACACAAGAGAGGCTGGTAAAAGTAACTGCCTCTGGAGAAGGGTGACAATTCGGGTGACTGGGTAGAGGGGAGAGCAGCTTCTCATCAAATACTCTTACTCATTTTGACTTTTGTACAATGTCTATGTTACATAATAAAAAATAGTGCTTAACATGGATGAATATTTAATCCTATGTAGTAGTGGTTCTCAACCAAGGGTGATTTTGTCCCCCACAGGACACGTGGCAATGTCTAAACACGTTTGGTTGTTACAGCTAGAGTTGAGGGTAGTGCTAATGGCGTCTAGTAGCTCACAGTACATAGGTCAGCCCCACACAACAAAGAATGATCTGGCTCAAAATGTCAGTAGTGCTGAGATTGAGAAACCCTGCTGTACAGCAATTCTGGATGATAAGGTTTGAGAAGAGCTAAGCAAGACTAAAGAGACAAACAGAGTCAGGTGCATATGCCTAAGCATTCAAATCACTGTGACTTTAAGGTAATTCATATTTCTAGCTGTGAATGAGGAGGGTTAGATTAGTCCAGTATGCATAATTTATTCCACATTGGTACAGTTCAAGCTTCTGTAACCTTAGTTCATGTTAATTTGACTGTTTTAAATGTAGTATAGTCACTAGAAGAATGAGATCAGAATAAGGTACATGATTTCTAGGGCTTCAGTGTGCAGGTATACTTGCACATGTATAGGAATACGCATTGCAGTACTGTTGGTAATGGAAAATACTGGAAACCACCTAAATAATAGGGAACTGGTAAAGTAACTTATGGTATATCCATACAGTGGAATACTGTGCAGCCATTAAACAAGATAGCTTTAATGATCTCTAAGATATATCGTTTATTTTTCAAAAATATTTATTTATTTATTTATTTATTAGAAAGAGAGCGTGCAAGTAGGGAGAGGGGCAGAGGGAAAGAATCTCAAGCAAACTCCCCACTAAGCCTGGAGCCTGGCGTGGGGCTCCATCCCAGGACGCCGAGATCATGACCTGAGCAGCAATCAAGAGCCAGCTGCTTAACTGACTGAGCCACCGAGGTGCCCCAAGATATATCGCCTAAAAAGGAAGTTGGAGGGGTGACTGGGTGGCTCAGTCGATTACTTCTAACTTGATTTTGGCTCAGGTCATGATCTCACGGTTGTGAGATTGAGCCCCGTTATCTGGCTTCGTGCTCTCTCCCTCTCCTGCCCCACCCCTGCTATGTGCTTCCCCCCCACAAATAAATCTTAAAAAAAATAAAAAGCAACTTAGAGAACAATATATGTAGGTTACCATATGTAAAATAAGACATATACATATGTGCTCATTTATGCATATATCTCTGAATATGTGATATACATTCAGATATATACTCAAAATTATCAGAAACGGGGTTGTTTCTGGAGGACTGGGGTGAGGTTTTTTCTTTATGCCCTTTTGCATTTTTGTACTATGTGCACACTACTTGTATATATAAGACAGCTCTACCCAATCAATGAGTAAATGCACAGTATAACTCCACTATAACACATAATACAAGGGAGAATGAAATATGTATTATAATAAAGATATAAAAGAATATGGAAACAAAAAGTGTAGATGTTGAAAACTTGAAAATGTTGAGAGAAAATGAGGAACTTCAAGCCATACTTCAAATGAGGCACCATTACTTTTAGTCATTATAACCAAATATCCTTTTCCTAATACCTGCTCCTCTATGGTTATAAAAACAAGAGGGCAGTTGGGGGATTTGTCTGGTACCTAGGATGAATGTCATGCAAGAGAGGTATTTTCCAGATGCTGATGAAAAAAAGCCCCTCTTACCAACTGAGCCACCCAGGCGCCCAAAAAGCCCCTCTTACAAAGAGCTTTAGTGGGCTGACAAGCTTAAGACTTGGTTGGCCTACTTGATAGAAAATGAGATGAAGTCAGAAGCCTAGGGGATAGTCCTGACTTTGCAATAAATTTATAATGTGACCTTATGCAAGTGAACCTCTGGAACTATTGTCCATCTATAAAGTGAGAGTGTAGATCCCAAAAGATAAATTGAAAAAATCAAATGGATAATTCATATTAGGGAAAAATTTTCATTAAAAAATGGAAGAATATTCAGCTTTCCCATTAAGCAAAAGGAATATAATTTGAGATTTTATACTATTGAAACAAAATCAATATCCCATGCCACTGAAATTGTTAAAACTAGTACACACATTCATGTTAGTAATTTATAAGCTATTCTGTAAAATATGGCATGTTTGTATAACTGAGCCATAGAGATATTCCTGCCTTTTGATTCAGTAACTTCATTTCCCAGGAATTTATCTTAATGATTTAACAGATACAAAAATATATATACACAAAGACATTAATTCATTTTAATGTTTTAATAAAAAAACCTAAGTAAATAGTTTATTATGGGCATATCAATATGAAATATTGTTCCTGTTAGAAGGACCATTTTAAACACTGGAAACATTAAAAATACTATGTTTAATGTAAATACAGAGATAATATACAAATGTAAAATAATTTCACTCAGAAGGAAGAATTATGGGCGTGACTGGGTGGCTGAATCGGTTAAGCGTCCGACTCTTGATTTCAGCTCAGGTCATGATCTCAGGATCCTGGGACTGAGTTCCACATCAGGCAGGGAGTCTGCTAGAGGATTCTCTCTTCCTCTGCCCCTCCCCAAGCTCATGTTCTCTCTAATAAATAAATAAACCTTAAAAAAAAAGAAGAATTATGGGTACTTTATTATTTAATCAGTATTTAATACTGTTAAACAGACTTTTAAATTCTAATAAAAAGAATTTAAGATTGAGTTTAAGGAACTAAATCTTTTGAGCTCTAAAGTCTATGATTCTAATCATTCTCTGATACAGTGTTGGGGGCTTTGCTGTCCACTTTCCTCTAGTAGGCAAGGATGGCAGTGGATGAGATAAATTTTCAGAATGGACAGGGTTGATACAGCAAGCTGGGGCCCTGGCAATCTGGAGACAACCAGGGACGTGTTTTTTTTTTTTCTCTCACACTTTAACTCACTATGAATTTTGAATGACTTCCAAAAATACTTTATTTTAGATATATACCACATCTACACTCACATTTTAATATAAAAGCATTTAGAAGATGAGAAGCATTGAGAAGAAAAGATATGAAAAGGATAAACATGTATCTTGGAAGGGGGAGGAAACCTAGAGATAATTCTAGTACAACCTGTTTACAGATGAAAAAACTGATGCTCAGGAAGGAAACATGTTCTTACATGTAGAGAAAATAAAATTTGGAGGACAGGGGAAAAATTAAGGATGATGGGGGAGGGAAGGTCAATGAAAAAAGGCCAAAAGTAAATACAGATGTGTATGTGGATGATAAAATGGGTGAAGCCTACTACTGGAGGGTGGAGAAGTGATCCCCAGGACCTAGAAGGTGACTGTATTGGGTTTATACATGGTCCTACTACACACCCATCCTGGTATTTAATTACACTACACAAGGTACAGATCTATCAGATTTTCAACCCTTCTAAATCCAAATGAAGGTACAACCTTTCAAGTCCCAAAGACTAATGCTAAACTAGATTTTTATCCATAAATTTATCACAGAACATTGCTTTAAAAAAAGTACAGAAATTGGTATTCCACTGGCTTTTTCTGGTTTCTACGTCAAAAATACGTTGAAAGATAATTTGTTTAGATTGTACTGTTCTCCCCCCCCCCAACTTGGTAGCTCATCTCAAGGTATCGAATGTGAATTTTTAATAAAAATTTTTAAAATTAGCTAATTTAGATGGAAAGCAAATTGCTTTCATGTATTTTCAGAAAGGATTTTAACTGAACTAGTTCATTCTATGTGAACAAACTATGTACATACATACTTTCAGAAATCCAAGTTTCATCTATATATATAAGCTTTTGAGATGAGACTAAAACTTTTCCAACACCCTGGAAGGGGGGCTTGGCTTAGTGCCGTTGGTGTGCTGCTGGCCACAGCTATCTTGTATCCAGAGGGTACTAGTTACTTTGCTTCTCCTATGTTTGACAAGTTTTATTGATGGAAAGCTGATCTAAGGACAAGACTGCTTATCCAAGTTGGGATTTTGCCTTAAGCACTGAACAAATCAGATTTTAAAAGTAAAGTTCAACTTACATCCCATTTTTTATTTTATACAATACCTCACTCACTGGTACACGTTATAAACATGAGGCTTTTACTTTTAATGATTCCATATCAAGCAATTTATTTATACTCTAATAAAAATAAAGTAAAACTATAGTAAGCAGTTTATCATTACTTTGGGCTTTTATCCTGTTGGACTTCGACATCTTCAGAACCTTGTAACAAATCACAACACATATAAACCTCATTTTACACAAGATATATTTCAATAATGGTGTATAAATTGATTTTTATAAACTGATTATTTTACATTATTTATAAAACTTTTATGTTTTCAAAATTTTATTTATACATTTATGCTAACTTATAAATTATCTTCAATTAGTATGTGATGTCAAACATTTTGGCTTTAGGCTATATCTAGTTTCCTTTCTCTCTTTTACCCACCCATCCTGCCCCCAACAAACAGTTAATAGAGGAGTTTTATTTAAAACAAAACAAATCTATACTAGGAATATTTCGTATTTGGAGAAATCACACAGGAAAAACAAGATTACTAGGAAGACCTTAAAGAAATGCGTTTTAAAGGTGCCTAAAAGCCTAAAAGCCATTTGTGACAACATGAATGGACCTAGAGGGTATTATGTGATGTGAAAACCTGAAGTTTTTTTAACAAGACCAAAAAGTTTATTGTAAGTACTTAAGAATCATACCATCACACATTAGCATATCACAACTAAGCATTTATTATACTATTAAGAAGGGAAGCAACTGCAGTGGTATTTCAGAAGCTATATATTTTTTTAAAATGTAATATATGCTCATAGACTCTAAACAGTATTTTAAAATATACAATCTCTCCAAAAGAAAATATTCAACTAAAGATAGATAACTTTTAATGTAAGTAAATGTTACAAGAGTTTAAAATTAAAGTCATCATCAGATTTTCCACAACACAATGTACAGAAATTTGCAAACTTCCTGTACAGAGCCAAATAATCTCTACTCTTGAGCGAGGCGTTCAATAACACGTCGGTAATCTTCCACAAGTTCCTGAAAGCTTTCTTCCAGCTGTTCATGTTGCATGCTTATTTCTATTTGGTTCATCTGGTTTGTCAGTTCTTCTGGTCTGAGACATTTTCTCATTTTAGCAAGATCTCTCTGCTTTTTCTAAGCAACAAACACAATTATTGGTTAGACTAAGAAAGAAGATAAATCTCTTTATATTCTTTGAATTTTAAGTCTCCACTGTTAAAAATAAGATTAGTAGGAATATGCCCAAATTTGTCCCACACAGTTTTTTCCTTAAGGAAGCCTAAACATAATGTTAACCATGAATTACAAAACCTCTAAATGGAGTTAACTAGGAGACTCGGAATTTGTGTCAACTGATGGGTAAATATACATGTCACTAACAGCCCCTTCTCCAAAGCATAATAAAGAACTGGCCAGTGCAGACACTCAAAAATTTCTTTAGTAAATAAATATATTAACTGAAGAAAGACAACTGAGATTAAGTGCTATTATTCTTCATTTCACTATTCATTCATTAATTCATTGCTAATGTTTTAATTCCAAACTGCCTTTTTCCTGACCTAAGTTCATCTCTAAGTTTCCTTACCCAGCATGTATTTATGGACCACATATTAATTTTAACATAAACTGAAAAGTTTCAGAAAGATAACCAAAAACTGTCCCACTTTAAAAAGATAATATTAACCAGCACTTATTGAATTTCTACTATCCAGAAATACATTATCTTCTTAACCTGCCTGACCCTCCACCCACCACATTTTACTGAGAAGGAACCCACCATGCTGGGCCAGAAGGGAGCCAGTAACAACTTTCAGGTAGGACACTGTCAGAACAACACTGTTAGTAATGCTGAGGATGGGACTGGAGGACCACGTTAGGAGCCACTGCAAAAATTCAAGTGAGATGATGAAAGCCTAGACCAAGTCAGGAGGAGTGGAGATGGAGGGGAAAGGGCAGATTTAGGGAAGAAAATATTGGGTGATATGGGGAATGAAGAATGACTCCAAGATTCCTGGATAGGTGGCAACACTGCAATACAGTATGGAAACACTGTAATACAGGAAACTTTAATACATTTTGGGTAAACTGTTCTAGATTAATATCTGAATCTTCTACTAGAACATATAATAAAGAGATAACTTTACATAAAGATCAGAAATCACATGTATTAACTCATGTAATCCTAACAACTATAAGCTAGGTAGTCTAATTTTCTACAGTTGATAAAGAAAAAATAGGATATGGGAGTTGAATAACTTGACACAAAGGTAGTGAGATGAGAGGCCAGGATGCAAACCCCAACAATCTGGTTGGAAATCTGTATTATTTAGTTCCTGTATCTAATTGATTTTCAAAAGACTATTAAAAAAACAATTCCTAAATCCATCCTAAAAACTAATAAATGTCCCTTAAAGAGAACCCTAACAATTTTGGAATACTAGGAAAATGTGTCATGATTACTACTTAAAATGCTCAAAATAAAGCTACATTAATAACCACATGTTTTTATTTATTTTATTTTAAAGTAAGCTCAATACCCAACGTGGGGCTTGAATTCATGACTCTGAGATCAAGAGTTTCATACTCCACCAACTGAGCCAGCCAGGTGCCCCTATAACCAATGACATGTTTTTAAAACAAGGTAACAACAATAATGTTTGGAGATAAGCCTTTCTGACACTACAAAAAAATTAGGCTGATCCTGGTCTAAATTGGTGGAACCAATAGTAAATAAGGTTGCTATTACTATAACCAGAAATAAAAAAAGTTAACTTCATTAATATAAAACACCCTTCTAAAGCAGAACTTCTCAAACTTCAATGTGCATGCAGATCACCTGAGGACCTTGGTAAAATGCAGATTCTGACTCAGTAGGTGTGGGGGACAAGATTCTGCATTTTTTTAAGATTTTATTTATTCATTTGCTAAAGAGAGAGAGAGAACAAGCAGGGGGAGAGGCAGGGAGAGGGAGAAGCAGGCTCCCCACCAAGCAGGAAGCCCGACTCTGGGTGGGGGTGCGGGTGCTCAATCCCAGGACCTGAGATCATGACCTAAGGCAGACGCTGAATCGACTGAGCCACCCAGGTGCCCCCAAGATTCTGCACTTCTAACAAGCTCCTAAGTGATGTTAATGTTACCGATCTACTGATCACACTATGACTATCAGTTCCAGAGAACTGATGAAATTTCAAATTTATTGTTCCTAAGACCCACCAGGACAGTGTATTCCTTACTCTTCAATCATGTGAATGATAAATGCTTTGTTTCTGCTGTAAAAGTTATTTTTTCTACCAACAGGCATGACTGCACTATATAAGAGCATTTAACTTAAGAAAGCAGTTCAGGAACTAAAGGGTAATTCATGAGCAAATTACTGTGGTGTGTGACAGGAATAGAAGCTATTTTTCTAAACTGCTAACCAGTTATAACGTTTATTAAATAATCTAACCCCATTGCTTGAAGATACCTCCAATCATATTAAATTCTTATATATATAATAGAACCATCATATTAAATTCTTAAATACTTCTAGACTATCAAATTTTGTTGCAAATAACCTATAAAATGAATCCTGTGCCGGTAACATACTGTTTTAAATTATTATGCTGTTCTTAAATTTGAGAGTTTACATCCCCAATTTATCACCCCCCGACCTTCAATTTCTTCACTGGATGTCAGAATTAATCACTACTGTAATTTCTATTGGTATGATGGAAAATTTATGAATTAGCAGTGCCCGGGTGGCTCAGTCTGTTAAGCATCTGACTTCGGCTCAGGTCATGATCTCAGGGTCCTGGAATGGAGTCCTGTGTCAGGCTCCCTGCTCAGTGGGGGTGTCTGCTTTTCCCTCTGCCTCTCCACCCCCCACCCCCATCCCCCCCACTCGTGTTCAGTGCTTCCACGCTCTCTCTCAAATAAATAAAATCTTTTAAAAAATGATAATAAAATAAAATACATAGGAATAAAAATATCTATAAATAGCTTTATGGAAAAAATATAAAACTATATATTTAAGCTCCTCATGAACATGTAAGGTATGATTCAATTTTAAAAAACAATTTGAGGTTATTAGCTTTATTGGCCTTTAATATTCCTTAAATTGTATATATATTCCATTGTCTATAAGTATATTACAAATTAATCTTTTTAAAGAATGTGTAAAAAAAACACTTTAAAAACCCCAAATTGGAAAAAAAAAAAAAAAAAAAACCCCAAATTGATTTGGGGAACACCCCTATCCAGCAAAGTGAAATACCCTGGGAGAACAAATGAAACAATGAAAGGTAGAACCCCTAAGATTGGAATAGATATTCTATAAGCTTTAGAATAATTTTCTTCCCACCAAAACCAAAAACTTAATTCCTTTATAGATTAGGGCAGTTCATAATTTTTAATTAATGAAGACAAATTAAAGATAGCATTATTTTAAACTTATTTATGTTAACATTTGGCTTGGATATGAATTTTTCCAGAAAATAATCCTTTCTTTTTGCCTAGCTTTTACATGTTCCCAGAGGGCTTACAAATATAATCTCAAAAATGCTACCACCTCTAAGGGCTCCTTAATTTCCTTTGGCTGAACTAGTCACTTTTGTAAAGTACAGAGATAAGGATATTTTGTAAGAATTTTAAAATAATAATGGTGTGGAAGCATATTAATTCCAAAGACTTGTCAAAAGACATCTTTTAAAACATGCACCACAGTATTTTATTTCTTTCTGTTCAATTCCTAACTATGGAGGCATTTCCATTTTATGGAAGGGAAGCCTAATACCCAAGTATTAATAAGTTGTCAATAGTTACACAATTTCTAAAAGAACCAGATCTCAAAAACTGAGTTTCCAGATTCCAAATGCAATGATATTAACAATGATTCTAAATTTTATATTTGTAAACCAACTAAGAATTAAAATAGTCCCATGAAACAATATAAAAGCTTTATAATGCTAAAACCAAACAGCTACACCAATTTTTCTTTTTTTAGCCAAATGGTTCAAATTTGTCATTTTTTGAACACCTGAAAATCACTTCTGTACTAGAGATGGAGTTACTTTTTGTGCTTTAAAAAAATGATTCTAGTTGATATAGGTTATTCCCCCCCTCCTTTGGCATTGATACAAATGAATGAATGAATTACCAGTGTTTAAAGACTTTTAATGCAAGGTGCAAGTACTTCTAATAGCTACCCAAATAATTTCTTAGTGGGAGAGTGTGTTTAGACTGACAGGTAACCTTGATTCCTCAAATAGAGGCAGCACAGAATTTGCTATCAATAAATAAATAATTTCATACCTCAGTAATAACAGTGACAATCAAAATTATAATTTTTCATAAAATGTGAAAGTAAACATGTAAATTTTACACTCCAAACTTTCCCTATTAGGCATAATTTTAAAGACCTAAAAGAGTTCTAAATCACACTCATTATTAAGCAATTTTACTTTATTCTTAAATACAATTTTACATCTGAGAATACTGTAATAACACAACAAAGTACATAATATCATACTGGAACAACAAATTGAAGAAAATCATCTGCATCCATTCAACAAGGAAATCACAGCACTCCTCCCATGCCTATTGGACATTTAACTCATTTCTAGACTTTCTTAAAGTTTGTGGTAGATTTCCTACCCCAAGCATTGGGACTATCAACCTAAAGTAGGGGTGGGGGACCCTCAAGTTTTCTTGTTTTTCTCAATGGGATAGAATACTGGATAACTGAACTTATTAAAATGTACATTACTATAAATACAGTTCAAGCAAGCCTCTGAAGAAGTGATCTGTGTATAAGCTTTAGTGCAAGGATGGTGATACTCAGCTGTGTTAAGAACCTGAAGAGTTTAAGGGCGCCTGGGTGGCTCAGTTGGTTAAGCGACTGCCTTCAGCTCAGGTCATGAGTCCCGGGATCGAGTCCCGGGATCAAGTCCCACATCGGGCTCCCTGCTCGGCGGGGAGTCTGCTTCTCCCTCTGACCCTCTTCCCTCTCGTGCTCTCTCTCACTCTCTCTCTCTCAAATAAATAAATAAAATCTTTAAAAAAAAAAAAAGAACCTGAAGAGTTTAATAACCAGTTTTCAGTTGTCTTTCAGATAGGTCAACTTGTTTGCAGGTGAGGATACTTAATATAAAAAATCAAATCATTACTATTCTTTAAGAGTAAAAAAGACTTGCTTTTATGAACTACAGAAATTCCTATTTGGCATGAGTTTGTGACCACTTAGAATTCATCATCTCTCATGTGCTACATCTATCTATATAAAACATCAAATAATTATCTGAGATGCATAATTCAATAAATTATTTTACTTTACTAAAACAGTTTAGTAAAGGCATACCTCAATTTACTGTGTGTGCTTCGCAGATATTCTGTTTTTTTACAAATCAAAGGTCTGTGGCAAACCTGCATCAAGCAAGTCTACTGGCACCATTTTTCCCAGCAGTATTTGTTCACTTCATGTCTCTGTGTCTCATTTTGGTAATTCTTGCAAGATTTCAAACTTTTTCATTACTATTATATTTGTGGTGGTGATTTATGATCAGTGTTCTTTGATGTTACTATTGTATTTATTTTGGGGCACCACAAACTGAGCCACAGATGATGAACTTAATGTTGTGTGTATTCTGACTGTACCACCGACCAGGTGTTCCCCGCCCCTCCTCAGGTCTCCCTATTCCCTGAGACACAACAATATCGAAATTAACCCTACAATGGCCTCTAAGTGTTCAAGTGAAAGGAAGAATTGCACATCTCACACTTTAAATCAAAGCCAGAAATGATTAAGCTTAGTGAGAAGGCATATTGAAAGCTGAGGTAAGCCAAAGAGTAGGTCTCTTGTGCCAAACAGGCAAAGTTGCAAATGCAAAGTTCTTCAAGGAAATTGAAAGTACTACTCCAGTGAACGCACAAATGATAAGAAAGCAAAACCACCTTACTGCTTATATGGAGAAGGTTTTAGTGGTCTGGATAGAAGATCAAACCAGCCACAACATTCCCTTAAGCCAAAACCTAATCCAGAGCAAGGCCCTAACTTTCTTCAATTCTCTGAAGGCTGAGAGAGATGAGGAGGCTGCAGAAGAAAAGTCTGAAACTAGCAAAGGTTGGTTCATGAGGTTTAAGGAAAGAAGTTATTTCCATAACATAAAAGTGCACGGGGAAGCAGCAAGTGTTGACGCAGAAACTGCAGCAAGTTATCCAGAAGCTCTAGCTAAGATAATTAATGAGAGTGGCTACACTAAACAAAAGATTTTCAGTGTAGACAAAACAGCCTTCTTCTTCTTTTAAGTTTATTTAAGTAATCTCTATACCCAACGTGGGGCTCAAACCCACGACCCTGAGATTAAGAGTCACATGCTCTTTTTTTTTTTAAGATTTTATTTGAGAGAGAGAAAGAGAGAAAATGGTGGGAAGGGGCAGAGAGAGAGAGGGAGAGAGAGAGAGAGAGAGAGAAGCAGACTCCCTGCTGAGCCAAGAAGCCCTACGTGGGGCCCGATCCCAGGACCCAGAGATCATGACCTGAGCTGAAGGCAGACACTTAACTGACTGAGCGACCCAGGTGCCCCGAGTCACATGCTCTTCTGACTGAGCCAGCCAGGCACCCCAAAACAGCCTTCTAGTGCAGAAGATGCCATCTAGGGCTTTCATGGCTAGAGAGGAGATGCTTGGCTTCAAAGCTTCAAAGGATATGTTGAGTCCCTTGTTTAGGGTTTAATCACAGGTCCCTAATGCAGCTGGCGACTAAATTGAAGCCAATGCTCAATGACCATTCCAAATATCCTAGGGCCCTCAAAAACTATGCTAGTTTTACTCTGCCTATGCTCTAAGGGAAAAACAAAGCCTAGATGACAGCACATCTGTCTGCAACACAGTTTACAGAATATTTTAAGCTCACTGTTGAGACCTACTGCTCAGAAAAAAGGATTCCTTTTAAAAAGATCACTGCTCACTGGCACTGTACCTGGTTACCCAAGAGATGTTGGAGATGTACAACGAAACTGATGTTGTTTTCACGTCTGCTAACACAATATCCACTCTATAGCCCATGAATTGAGGAGCAATTTCGATTTTCAAGTCTTACTATTTAAGAAGTACATTTCCTAAGGCTATAGTTGCTGTAGATAGTGATTCCTCTGATAGACCTAGGCAGAGTAAACTGAAAACCTCTGGAAAGGATTCACCATTCTAGATGCCAGTAAGAACACTCATGATTCATGGGAAGAGGCAAAATATCAACCTTAACGAAGGGAATGTGGAAGAAGTTTATTCCAGCCCTCATGGATGACTCTGAGGGGTTCAAGACTTCAGTGAAGGAAGTAACCACAGATGTAGTGGAATAGCAAGAGAACCAGAATGCAAAGTAGAGCCTGAAGGTGTGACTGAATTGTTGCAATCTCATGATAAAACTTGAACAGATGAGGAGTTGCTTCTTATGGATAAGCAAAGAAAGTGATTTCTTGAGATGGAAACTATTCCTGATGAAGATGCTGTGAAGGAGTTAGAATATTACATAAACTTAGTTGATAAAGCAGCAGCAGGGTTTGTTGAGTACTGACTCCCAATTTTGAAAAAAGTTCTATTGTAGATAAAATGCTATCAAACAGCATCCCATGCTATAGAGAAAGGAAGAGTCAACTGATGTGACAAACTTCACTGTTGTCTTATTTTAAGAAACTGTTATAGCCAACCTCAACCTTCAGCAACCACCACCCTGATCACAGTCAGCAGCCATTAACATCAAGGTGAGACACTCTACCAGCAAAAACATTATGACTCACTCAAAGCTCAGATAATGGTTACCATTTTTTAGCAATAAAAGTATTTTTAAACTAAGGTACGTCAGTTTTTAAACATAATGCTATTGTACACTAAGCAAAATACAGTACAGTGTAAACGTAACTTTTATATGCACTGGAAAACCAAAAAATTCATTTGACTTGCTTTACTGCTGCAATATTCACTTTACTGCAGGGGTCTCAAACTGAACCTGCAGTATCTCCGAGGTGTGCCTGTATTCTGAAATGCTGCCATAACATCGCATTACACTGTTCTATATGCCCAAATTTCAACATAAAGACATTTTCTAGATGACAAATTAATATTACGTCAAAACTCAAAACTTTTGGAAAGAACCATTTTTACCAATTTTCTGATGTTTATGAAATGATTAATATCAAAGAATAAAATGCTACTTTGAACAATTTGGGGGAAGAGAGACCATTGCAATGTATTACAACCTGTTTTAGGTAGTCCATAAGACAGAAAATTTTTGGATTTGTCATTTATGTTCCCAGCTATTGCACTGTATAAGCCTATAGGTATAGTGTATATAAATGTAGCAACCACATGTCAGGTGTTCATTAATTATTTATTGAACAAATTAACAAATATTCTCACCAATCAGCTTACTGCGCAGCTGCAGCTATCATAGCAAATCCTCATTCACACAGGCTGTCATGGGCAATATCTACCTCAATAATAGCCAAATGATGATGAGGAAAAACCTGAGCTCCTAAGGAGGGCAAGTTTCTGAGAGGAAAATATGGGAGATCAGAAAATGGGTAGGGGGTAGAGGGCAAGAAGAAAGACTGTTAAAAAAAAAAAGTAAATAATATTATGCTGCAGTTTCAGCTATGGTAAAGTACAGAGGTTAAAAATGGCAATGAAGGCCATATTTAGGAAGAAGGGAGCAATTGCAAAGACAATATATATAACAACTAGGAAACTAGAGACTTAGAACAAGTTTAGTTTAGAACAAACTAGAGACTATTCACCAGATAATTTATTCAGGAAAAGTCTGAGCATTCAGATTTTTAAAAGATGGCAAACATATGAAGTAAAAAGTAACCATGGGTAGACTATCCTTGGGATTAGTTTTTAAGTGAATGAAAACAGATTTATAGCTTGCACTGGAAAATTATGACAGTAAAACTTCTTATAACTAAGGGAAGAATATTTTCACTTTTGTAAAAGTTAATTTAGGAAAATGATTTAGACTGTCCCATACACCAGCAATTGCTACACTTTCTTCTCCACTTTATTATTTATATATTTAAAAAAATTTTTTAAAGTAAACTCTACCCCCAATATGGGGCTTGAATTCTCGACACCAAGATCGAGTCACATGCTCTACAGACTGAGCCAGCCAGGTGCCCCTCTTCTCCATTTTTAAACAGTGACAAGAATATAATGTTTAAGACTCTGGAAAGTCCTACCTTATACGGACTAATCAGTCTTCTTTTAATGTCCAGTCTATAGCTTCTGTATTGTTCAGCATTACTCATGTCAGTTACCAGTAGTCGAAGAATTTCATAAACCCGCCTAGCATGTTGCTTAATGAAACAAAAGAAAAACATGAACACTTTTAATTACAAAATAGTGACACTTTCCCAAAAGAACACAGGATATACTGAGTATCTGCTATGGGCCAGAAATTGTGCTAGGTACCAGATGAAACACAGTAAAAGACAGTCTCTGCCCTTGAGGAACTAGCAGCCCAATAGGTAACACAAATGACTGAGGTATGGTTAATTTAATGATGGAAATATGCATAGGGTATTATGGTAGCATAGCCTGGGAATGGTATAAATGTTAGAAGAGGATTCCTGGGGAAAGAAAACCTGAGCTAAATCTTTTTTTTTTTATAGATTTTATTGATTTATTTGAGAGAGAGAGAGAATGAGAGATAGACAGCACGAGAGGGAAGAGGGTCAGAGGGAGAAGCAGACTCCCTGCTGAGCAGGGAGCCCGATGTGGGACTCAATCCCGGGACTCCAGGATCATGACCTGAGCCGAAGGCAGTCGCTTAACCAACTGAGCCACCCAGGCGCCCAACCTGAGCTAAATCTTAAAGGGAAGAGTCCACGCCAGTCTAGAAAGAGGAGAGGGCACTATGAGTGTACAAGGGCACACAGCACACACGTGCAAGACTGAGGCAGCTTGACACGGCTGGGGCACAAGATGAAAAGTAGTGAGAAGTGACGTGAGGACAGAGCAGAAGCACAGAGCCTCACATACTATATTAAAGAGTTGGGCTTTTATCTAGTAGGTGATGGATTTTACTTTTTATTTTATTATTTTTAAAAGATTTCATTTATTTTAGAGAGAGAGTGTGTGAGCAGGGGGAGGAGGAGAGGGAGATCATCTCCAGCAGACTCCACACTGAGCACAGAGCCCGATGTGGGACTCAATCCCAGGGCCCCAAGATCATGACCTGAGCTGAAACCAAGAGTCATACGCCTAACTGACTGAGCCACCCAGGCGCCCCCAGGTGATGGATTTTAAATGGGGGCATGAGCAAAGTGCACAAATATGAGTTTTAAGAAAAACATTTTGGGGCGCCTGGGTGGCTCAGTCATTAAGTGCCTGCCTTCGGCTCAGGTCATGATTCCAGGGTCCTGGGATCGAGCCCTGCACTGGGCTCCCTGCTCCGCAAGAAGCCTGCTTCTCCCTCTCCCACTCCCCCTGTTTGTGTTCCCTCTCTCGCTGTGTCTCTGTCAAATAAATAAAATCTTAAAAAAAAAAAAAAAAAGCATTCTCTCAGCTACATAGAAATGGTAGCAAAAAGAAGGGCAGGGAGACCAATTAAGAAGCTGTGCTATTAAATCAGGCAAAAAATGATGAAGGCATTGAACTAAGACAGAATCAGTAAGAATACTAAAGGAACAAGGATTCTAATACAGAGAAGAGGAAAGATTGGGTGTGGAGGAGGGTGTGGAATGACAGTGAGTTTTCACAGCCTAGGAGAGATTTAGAAGGCACCAGAACATATAAATCTGAAGAAAACTCTAGTCGAAGAATGAGGATTTAAGCAGTATTAGTTTACAGGCAAGAGTTAAAACCATAGTATTGGTTAGGAAAGCATAAACAGTGAAAAAATGAGGGAGAGGTCAGAACCCTGTAGTACAGTGACAGTTACAGGGCAGAGAAAAACAAAGAAATATTAGAAAAATCAAGAAATCTTGGTATCACTGAAGCCAAAAGAGTAGCCCATAGTTTTTTTGTTTGTGTTATTTCACTTACATATTCATTGGGGGTGAGGGAGAGATTAGGTATAGGTAGATTGGGAAGATGATGTTTGAACTTTCTGGAAAGGACACCTGAACAAATGAACATCTGGCAAGTCAAAGATGGAGGAAGAGGAGAAGGGGGTATCAAGGGCAAAGGGCATAGTTAACGTAAAGCGATATAAAAGGAAGAAAGATGTAGCATGGATGGGAAATAACAAGAGGTTTAGTAATGCCAGAGCATGTAGGAAGGTAGCAGAAAGTTGAGTCTACCAAGATTGGTGGGGTCCAAATTATGATGGGCTCACTGTACCATACCAAATTTTAATTCCTTTAAGAAAAAGAAAAAAAGCATGATTTTGAAAAATGTGTTCATATTCTCTTTCTTTTAAAAGCTGAGCTGTTGAATAAATTCTCTAAGGTTTAATGTAGTCTGGATATACCAAATATTTCTAAAACATATATTTATCTTAAAACCAGGAAGCTATTAAAGTGTTTTAATGTAGGAGAAGATGGAAAGTTTCAGTTCAAATTAAGCTATTGAAGGTCAGTGACCAGGAAACATTTTTTACTTTTTTTTTTTTTAAAGATTTATTTAATTATTTTGGTGGGGGGGGAGAGAGAGAATTCTAAGCAGACTCCCTGCTGAGCAGGAAGCCAGATGCAGGGGCTCAACCCCCACAACCCAAGATCATGACCTTAGCTGAAATGAAGAGTCAGACACCCAACTGACTGAGCCACCCCGCGTCCCAGGAAACTTTTTATATACAGTGTTGGGAGTGCAAGAGGAAAATCTACATTGGAGAGTTAGATGAGATCTCCCAGGTAGAGTAAGGAAAATGAGACAGAATGAGGACTGAATAAAGAACTTTGGGGAAGAATTATCTTTAGGGAACATACAGAAGAGTAAGCCAGTAAAAGTATCTCAAAAAAGATGATCATAGTACTAAGTGAAAAAAATCAGAAACTATACTACCTTAGAAGCAAGGGAGGAGAGGGTAACAGTATCATATACTAGTGCTTATTATTGGGATACACTTCACATCTCTTTCTTTTTTGAAAGATTTATTTTGAAAGACAGAGTGCATGTGAATGGGGGCCCGGGGTAAAGGGAAAGAAACCCAAACAGACTCTATCCTGAGCCCAACACGGGGCTCGAATCCCAGGACCCCAAGATCATTACCTGAGTTGAAATAAAGTCTGATACCAACCAATTAAGCCACCCAGACGCCCCTCAGATACTTTCATAATCCAAATCCTACCCATTCTTCAAGGCTTAGATCAAATGCATCTCCATCCCATGAAAAACTCTTGATTCCCTTCCATACACAAATATAATAAACTAAACTCCCTCCTCTGAACTGCCAGATTATTTTTTTGTACCTATTTTAGGATATTTACTACTTTAAAATTCAAATATATAGAAGTATATATACTTCTCCACATGTATTAACTATTTTGCCATATCAAACATTTTCTTAAAAAGTAAAAATAAGATCATACTATCCATTTTGTTCTGCTTGTTACACTTTAATATAGCCATAATATCAACTATCTTCCCCTTCTTTTAATGAGGTTAAAATTAAATTGCCCTAAGTCACAGACTAAGTGGTGTAGCCAGATCTTAACCCAGACAATTTGGATTCAGAGCCTATACTCTCAACCACTGCTACTTCCCACACATGTATTCTTAATGTACTTGCAATGTTTAAGTTACATACTTAAAAAAAGAGAGAAAGAAAACTTCAAAACTGAAATTTTTTTCTACAAAATAAAAATACCTTATTTATTTTGAACTTCTGTTGTGCCTCTATCGCCATATCTTCACTGAATCCTTGCATCAACTTTTCCCGGGAAAAACAGGGCAAATCTTGACAAAGTTTCACAAGCACAAAGTCTCTTAATTTCACATAGCTTTTGGATGGATCTTCCGCTAAAGAAAAGGCAGAATAACATTTCCCTTATCCAACATAATTCATCATTTGCAATCTCAATATACATGCTAGGCTAGAAATACAAATATTCTTAAAAGAACTATACAAGGCAAAAGTTACAATGAGAAAGGATTATTCCTTATTAATCAAACAACAGCACCATTATCTTTGCCAAATAAAATTATAGGTGCAATCCTTTTGCAAAGACATATAGTATCTGTGAAATTAGAGCTACTCCTTTCAAATGTAAACTTTTTGATGGGTGTTATCTATCATATGCATCTTAGTTTTATTTTCAATTAAAGTAGCTATATAAACAAGAGATTCAAGTTTGGATAATCAATTCCTTTTCTCTGATAGCTAAGGCTTCTGAAGCTCAATTTAAAACTCCCTTACTTTATTTTTTTTTTTTAAAGATTTTATTTATTTATTTGACAGAGACACACAGCGAGAACAGGAACACAAGCAGGGGGAGCAGGAGAGGGAGAAGCAGGCTTCCCGCCCAGCAGGGAGCCCGATGCGGGGCTCGATCCCAGGACCCTGGGATCATGACCTGAGCCGAAGGCAGACGCTCAACAACTGAGCTACCCAGGCGCCCCTATAACTCCCATACTTTAATCCAATAACCTTTACAGTCTGCCACACTGCTTTTACCAATAATAAAAAAAAAACCCTCTTTGTTTTCACAAGCAAATCTTTTTTTTTAAAGAATAAAATGACAATATGATTTTGATCCTTTCTTCAATGCATCTGAAGAGCATAGATCTTCCTTTATGTTTGTCTCTTATGTACATTAGACTATGTAGTAGATAAAACATCAAAACATGATGGGTAGAAAGACGACTACACAGAGAAAATCAGTTTGAGTCCCAGTTCTGTCATTCATAGATGTAGGACCATGGGCAAGTCACCTTACTTTTCTGAGCTCTTGCTTTCTCATAAGTAGACGACTTGAAACAAAGAATGCTAAATGCTGAGCTAGTTCATGGATCATGAGACTTAATAGTGTTATAATACCAATATTCTACAAATCATTCCATGCAATCCCTATAAAAATCCCAGTTGGCCTTTTTTTGTTGCAGAAATTAAGTTTATCCTAAAATTCACACAGATATGGAAGGAACCCAGAATAGCCAAAACAATCTTGAAAAAGAACAAAAGAAGACTCGCATTTCCTGATTTCAAAAATTACTACAAAGCTACAGTAATCAAGACAGTATGGTGCTGGCATAAAAACAGATATGTAGATCTATGGAAATGGATTGAAAGTTAAAAATAAACCCCTACATTTATGGTCAATTATTTTTTGAGAAAGGTGCCAAGATAAATCAATGAGGGAAAGAATTGTCTTTTAATAAATGGTAGTTGGACAACTGGATCGCCACAAGCAAAAGATGAAGTTGGACCCCTTTCCTCACACCATATACAAAAATTAATGCAAAATGAATCATAGACCTAAATGTAAGGGATAAGACTATAAAATTCTTAGAAGAAAACATAGGAGTAAATCTTCATGACCTTTGGTTAGGCAATGGCTTCTCAGATAATAGAGCCAAAAGCACAAGTAACAAAAGAAACAAAATAGATAAATTGGACTATATCAAAATTTAAAACTTTTCTGCTCAAATGATACCATTAAGAAAATGAAAAGACAACTTACAGAATGGGAGCAAATATTTGCAAGTCATATATATGATAAGGGACTTGTATCCAGACTTTGTATGTAAAAATTTTACAATTCAATAAGAAAAAGAGAACCCAATTAAAAAAACAAAGGATCTAAACAGACATTTCTCAAAAAGATATACAAAGGGACAATAAGCACATGAAAAGATGCTCAACGTCATTAGCCACACAAAAAAAATGCAAATCAAAACCACAATGAAATAAAATTCCATCCACTAGAACAACTAGAATAAAAAAGTAACAAATATTGATGAGAGTGTAGAGAAACTGAAACCTTTATACTACTGGTGGAAATGTTAAATTGGTACAGCCACTTTGGAAAATAGCCTGGTGGCACCTCAAAAGGTGAAACATAGTTATCAGATTTTCCACCATTTCTCCTCCTAGGTATGTACCCAAGAGATATGAAACATAGGTCTACACCTGTACACAAATATTCACAGTAGCACTATTCCTAAGAGCCAAAAAGTAGAAAAAAAAGTCCCTCAATTGATAAATGGATACATAAAATTTGGTATTATCTACACAATGGGAATATTCATTGTCAATAAAAAGAAATAAAGTACTAATACATGCTATAATAAGGATGAACCCTGAAAACATGCCAAGTGAAAGAAGTATCATATATTATATGAACTTCAATGTCCAGAAGAGGCAAATCTATAGAGACTAAAAGTAGATTGGTGGTTGCCTAGAGCTGGAGGGGTATAGGTGGTGGGGGGTGGAAGAGGAAAGGAGTGACTGCTAATGAGTACTGGGTTTCTATTTTGGGAGAAAGGAATATTCCAAAATTAGATTATGATAATGGCTACACTGTAAATATTTCAAAAATTGTACAATTTAAGTAAGTGAATTGTATGATATGTTAATATCAATAAAGCTATTTATTAAAAAAAGTCTGAGCAAGGGGTAATGTTTTATGATTCTGAGTCATTATCCAATCCTCCATTCATTTGATCTGTATGCACCGAATATTATTATTTTTTTTTTTTTGTTATTTGACAGAGAGAGAGAGAGCACAAACAGGGGGAGCGGCAGGCAGAGGGAGAGGGAGAAGCAGGCTCCCCGAGGAGCAGGGAGCCTGATGCGGGGCTTGCTCTCAGGACTCTGGGATCATGCCCTGAGCCAAAGGCAGACAATTACCCAACTAAGCCACCCAGGTGCCCCATACTGAGTACCTTCTTAATGCCTCCTTCTGGTATTAACATCATATACATGTAATTATTAAGTAAATATTATATGACTATTGCTTTAAAGTGAAATCCTGTCACTGTATCAGTTTGGTATGAAATTATGGTTTATTAGGAATGTACACAGATGATGAACAAAATAACAAAATAACTTAAGTACAGACCCTGTCAAAAGCCAGAGACAAACAGGAAAACCTGAAAGCAGCAAGAGGAAAACCACTCATCAGAAACCACAGATGGTCAGAAGTCAGCAGGGTAATATATTTAAAATACTGAAAGAAAAATAACCGTCGGGCGCCTGGGTGGCTCAGATGGTTAAGCGTCTGCCTTCGGCTCAGGTCATGATCCCAGAGTCCTGGGATCGAGTCCCACATCGGGCTCCCTGC